GACCGTCCAAACAGCAGTCGCTTTCTAAAACATCGGATATGTATCGGATTCAGTACCACACATGAAAGTGACCCAGATCGGATTTGAAAATATCGGATTTGTGCCGTTCACACTGTCATAACATGATCGGATATGTGTCGCATAGGGTCAAAAAAATCAGATTTGATGCGCTTTCGCCTGCAGTGTGAACATAGCCTTAAACTTTCAAAACCAAACCTTTGTGCATGTTGTGTACATGTGTAGCTCTCTCTCTCTCACTCACTCCTTGAGTAAACAGAACCTCCTATTTAACATTTGGAGATTGCTACAATATGACTGTAGTGTGTGTGATTAGGTGAATGATGCTGTAGGAAAAAGCACTTTGAGTGGTCAGTTAGGGCAGAAAAACTCTGTATAAGTCCCAGTCCATTTAACATTTGACCATGAAACTGTCTGTCACAGTCATGTGATGCTTGCAGTTTACCCAAAATGCCTTTTTGAGGATCATCTGAAAATAGATACTACCAATACTAATGCGTGTTTCTGTTATTCAGTATGACAAACATTAAATTCTTGGAGATGTTCCCTCTGAAACTATGATATATTCTATAATATCAATGCTCAGATTTAGTTATAGAAATAATGCTGAACAAAAATTAGATTATGGCTTTAGATAATGACACTAAGATTGGATACAAATTTGATTTTCTTGCAGTGTTATGTTCAATGACCCATTAACTGCCAGAATGAATAACGCTTAAACCTAAAATAAATCCAAATATATTATAAATCATTTCTTCTTCTGTGAAAGATATGTCCAAAGCATTGATGTGTGACCACAACAGTGACACAGGCCAATATTTTAAACAGCAAGTGTACCAACCTCCACAACTCCTCTCTTTGGGGTGTGTACCGTAATCATGGCCCCACTGTCCAGCATGAACGTAATCTTGTAATTAGGGTTGTCTGTCACTCCCAGCTCCTACACACACACACACACACACACACACACACACACACACACACACACACACACACACACAGTGGTGTTATCTTCTGATCAATCTACACTCATATAATGTATGCCAACTTGGTTAACACTGCCACCTTTTGGCAACAAAATGTACAGGATAATAAAAGAAATGGTAAAGAAATAAGAGAAGTACTTGCCTTCATTTTTGCATCAATCCATTTCATACTTGTAGCAGCTTAAAAGAGAAAACACATTATGTGTGTTAATTAGTAATGAATTAAATCATGAAAGAAAAAAATAACAATTAAACACAACACAATGTCTACACACACCCAAGCACAAGAGGCATCTCAGTGAGAGGACGCGGTTCTCCAAACACATACTGGACGTTTAATTGGGTATTTACCACAATTACAAAAATGGGCGAGCTCAGTCTCTTTTTTGGTTGGTTTTTTTGTTCTTCTTGGTGGATCAGATGCTCAATTTGGGCCAAAACATCAGGAATTAACTAGACAGACATACTTATACAAAAACCCCACACTCTAACACAAAAGCAATGAACCACTGCCACAGACAAGGGAAAGAGACGGACAGATACGTACACCAAATTACAATATCGTAGTCCTCATAGGCTGATGTCAGGAACTCGTGAAGGTAGGGTCTCATCAGCTCCTGACCCGTTTCTGCACATGACTTGTGATCTGAACACACACAGTATTATTGTATGGGTGTCCATGGTAAAACAAGCAGCTGATAAACAGACAGTAACTGCAAAGCCTCCTCTTTTGTTTCTTGCAAAGCATCTTATTAAAGAGACACATGATGATATCAACTCACCAAACAGTGTGTAGTCCACATCCAGAACCAGGAGCCTCTTGCCTTCTCTAGGAGGGTTTAGTTCCTCTACCTTGTACTCTTTGACTCTTCTAGCTATTTTTGCCAGGTTCTCCTCTCTGAAGACATAAAACAATATTTGTTTCTCAAATGCACCCACACATCCACACACAAAGACAGGTTTCCTTCAACAATTTCTAAAATTCTGACAGACCTGTTCTCCACTTCAATGACCTCCTCCTCAATGTCAAAATCATTGACAACGTCATCATTCTCTGGTGGAGGGGCTAAAACGTCTTCCTTCACGAAACAAAATATGTGCACGGTTAAAACTGTATCAGTCAGTACATTATACCCATAGCATATATCCCTCAAAAATGTCAACGGCTGTCAGATCTTCACCTAAACAACCATTTTCTGATCCATTAATCAAAGCTAGCTGATTCCAAAATCCTGACTAAACAGATTATTTACAAGTTACCCCTCACCTCTCTTGTCTAGTAAACCTGAACACTAGCCAGGCACACAGTCCTTCTATAATAGTTCCAGCCAGATATTTTTTTTTCATTTTCTCTATCCACCTACCAGACTCTCCTCTCTGGTACCCATCATCATGATCTTGGTATTAGGCTTCAACTTCAACGAGCCCAGCTTCATCTCATCCTCTGCTGGTTTACCTGAGGGCAAGATGAAAGGGAAAGGAACAGAAAATATATATAGAGAGAAATTCTGAAAATCATATTAAGAGCATGCATAACTTTTATAAAATTATATATATAAAATAAAATAATTTATATACTCAATAGCCTGCAGATAGGTGGAGAAAACAGAAACTTTTGCACATAGACCTGGGGCTAGATGTAGGGGTGATTATTTTAAATATGATTAGCATCCAGGAGGGTCTTTTATGTAGACTGCACAATTAAATAAAAGCACAAGATGAAATGTCCTTTGGTCTCACACTTGGATTGGACTTCATATAGCATTATTTACACTAACTAGCGCAGAAATCAGAATCAGAATACTTCAAAAATCAGGTACTTATCATTGACATCATCTCACCTTTGACCTTGAGTCCCAGGAGTTTCTGTCTCTCTGGCAGGACCCCAGTCAAGGTCTTGATGGACTGTTTCAGGTCCAACACCGTGTCTTCCTCAGAAAGAGAACTGATGAAGTATTCCTGACCTCCCCACTTAATGATAACCGACACCGACATGACTCTTCGGTGCTCTTCACACACACATACACACGACTGCAGCTGAAGTCAGGTATGCACGCGCACCCTAAGCAAAAAATTTCCAGCAACAATAACATGCACGCGCACACCTTGCAGAAAGGGAGAGACGGGCAAATTCAAAGGAAAGGTGTTAGGATGCCACCATGTAACTGGCTGGAGCTCGACTTAAAACAAACAAGAGCACCTTGTGATAAAACAGAGAGCCAAACGGGACATTACTATTGTTAAGCAGGTGATGGTACGTCTGGCTATTTCAAGACACAACGGCCAAATGCCACCTAATCAGCTCAGACACTGTGTGACTGTCCCTGATGCTGATATTTATAGCACAAGGTTGCTAACACTGACTAGCAACGATGTAAACACGCCGGGTTTAACAGCCAGCTCGCGAACATTAACTGACTGAGCTCCGCGGTCTGCTCACTCTTACCTGGTAGCACAAACTAACATGTAATGCTTGGCACACACTGTCAAATTTCCTCATAAAGTTGAATGAATGAACTGAGTTGGCCGTTCAATTTCATTCAGCGGGAGCCTCACACACCGCTGCTCTCTTCCTGGCGTCACGAATCTTTCCGGTAGTGACGTAATTGAAAAAGGAGGCTTTGTTGCTATAGTGACTAAAGCTGTTACTTTAAAATACAATCCTTTGAATTGTATATATATATATATATATATATATATATATATATATATATATATATATATATATACATATATATATATATGCCATAATAAATATTTCAGCTATATTCAAAATAAAACTGGACAATTAGAACTGTCCAGTATCTAATTGTCACGGTTCAATGACTGACCACTACCTTATGCTATGCATTATGTATCTTGATACAAGTCTAATTTCACAGCAGGAAACACATTATGATTTACCATGGTCTAGAATCAGAATCAGAAATTGTTTAGTTACAGATGCACCCTTAAAATATTTATATGAACTAGAGAAACCCCTTAAATAAGGTGTAAATATAATTAAGACAAAGGCAATCAAAGTGTCATATTAAATTAGAAATAAGTTTTAAAACATACTATGTACAATATAAATAAATGAAAGTGAAAATAGTCTATGTCCACGCAAGGATAAGGATACTAATAGTATTGGTTTGAGAAGTATGTACTTCTTAAACCAATATATAAATGCTTAATAGGAATGTTTGCTAACCCCTCCCAAAAACAGCAGTCTTTTTGACGAACAAAACACACCTTTGTTCTACTATAACTTGCCTGGCGAAAGGGGAATTTATGCTTATCCGCACTGCCGGGAGAATATCTCATTCATATAAACCTAACAATTCCATAAAACTTGTAAAATCAAACACAATTAAAGTAACTAAAGTGACTGGCCACCACCTTAGGCTATGCATTAGGCCTCTCCATTAATTTTACTTTCAGGTTTTGTCCCTAGCTAAATATAAATAAATAAATAAATAAATAAATAAATAAATAAATAAATAAATTCCCTCTTCACATTAGGCAATCGACATCAGTGCTGGTTTTTAAATCCAGATTGAAAACGCATTTTTATTCACTGGCTTTTGACTCAGTGGTTGACTGACTTGTATTTACTCGTATTTTATTGTTTTCGCTATGTTTATTATTTTATCTTATTTATTATTCCTATGGTATCTATTATGTTTCTATTGTTCAGCACTTTGGTCAGCCTTGTGTGTTTTTAAAGTGCTATATAAATAAACGATGATGATGATGATGAAATATTTTAGGCGTTTGTTAATATACTACGATGACTTATTTCTGTAATGTTTCATTCCCCTCCCAAATTTATTTTTACCATTAATTGAGTGACAAAAAAATCACACATCCTAATTCCACTTTATAACAGTCTTTGACAATATGTTGTGAATAAAAAGCTTTGTCAGGTTAAAAAAATATATAACCTGTTCTTTCTGTACGGGACAGTAACATTGCGCATGCTCGGTACATCTTGCTTGGTAACTTGGATAATGGCCGCTAGGTAAGATGAGCGGATGGGCCGCGTCGTTTCAGCGTGAAGTGCTCACTCCGGGAGGACCGTTAACTCGGGCGGTGGCGAGTTAAAATGGTCGATATCCGACCCGTAAGGCATCCAGAAACAGTTGTACATTGTGCGAACATCGTCATTCAAACGTAAGTTCTTATTTTTTTTAAGAGAAATTTGTCTACGTGCCATAACTGGTTGCTAGCCGAGTGTCCCAGTCTGCTACATTTGGGCTTACTTGCTTAGGGGAGCAGGTTATGGTAATCCTCAAGCGTTATAAGCTAGAACATTTTATGTGAACATGTGCGAAGGCTGGCGCCTTAATTTGTAAGGTCAAAAGCAAGCTGATTCGTTCGGAGTGTTTTATTTCCCGCTGTGTTAAACATAAGCTAGGTTGTTGTTGTTAGTAGTTCCTCGGCTCGGTGACAGTGATGCTAGCTGAAAGCGTTAGCTTGATGCAGCTCATCACATAGCGCACGTACGCTGTCATAGCTCGCTATTTCTATCACTTTTACATCCACCAAACTGCGTGGAAACCGTAGGCATGCATTGTCATGTCTGTTATAAGTATTGATGGACGATACAGACCAGTATAGCAAGCAAAATATTGCCGTATTTGCGGCGTAATTGCGAGAATTTATTTCTGTCGAGACAGAGGGGTTACTAGAGTTCATGGCGTAGCACAGTCGTTGCAGCACTCACTCATCCATAACGTTTTCATTGCCGGTGCTTCAGTTAAACTAGTAAATGGTATGCAGCCATTAGACCAAATATACTACAATATACCCTACAGCTGTCAAAGGATTACAACGGATAAAAATTAATTGGTAGACGGCCTTGTTATATAAGTTCAGATTCTGCAAAGTGATGTCTGTCTGGGCAGTGATAGTCGTGGTAAATTTAAAGTTATGTAAGTTAACGGGATCCTGCAACGGGATGCTGGGATAAGAGATGGAAACAGTGCTGTTGGCAACTCAAGAAGGAAAAGAAATGTAAGAGCTTTGTTTAAATGGAGTGGATTGAAACTTCGTCACGTTTCTTTTTTAAAAACTAGCACTCACAGTGAAATGTTCCTCTAAAACTTCACGCAGGTATTAAAGGGCACTTAAACGAAGGGTTTGTAAGCAGCTAATTTTTTTTTTCCAAGTGCAGTAGATATGTTGTTTGGAAAAGGCCAGGAAAAAAGAGGGCAACATGTTGCTCTGTGGAATTCACTTTTGTGAGGCTTTGAATTTCCTTAAGCTCCAGCGCTTTTGGGTGAGAGCCTGGTTAACAATTGCTGATTTGTTGGAGAGCCTCGAGTTTTTCAAACATGCTCAGATTGCCTTGGAGTAATTCATGATCACTGTGAGAGGTTTCATCACTTTGAGGTTAATACGTTAGAAATAATATATTGAGTTGCATTGATTACATTTGGTGTGTTTGCTTTGCATCATGCAGTAGTGGCAGTGACGGGATTTAGTAGGTGGGAGGAAACAAAACTGAAATGCAATCTTTAAACAAATCTTTTTGTTTTAATAACTTCAACATTTGTGTAAGAGATGTTTTATGCCATTTTTTAATAGCATTTCATAACTTTGAGGTCAGTCGTTGAAATGGTTGAAAACCTGTACATATTCAAGAATTTTCCTACATTGAACAACCTTTAGCACCCACCAAATCATCAGAAAATGTAGTCAAACTAATTTTAATCTGTTCTGTTAATGCAGGTGCCATTTACTCAAGCATATAAAACATTTTTGTTTATCAAATAAGTAGGGAAATCCAGAGATAGGGTAACTGACTGTATGCTAACTGATCATGCTTATATGACTAGTTGTCCACCAAAAGCCCATTTTAAGCCAGGATAACACTGATATTGGCTAGTGTATGTATAGAACCATAGATGCGAGTTAAAATGTTTTTTTTTTCTTTCTTTAATCCCATCCATTAGATTTTCCATCAGGATCTGTGTTGATATAATAAGTCAACATATTCTTTCTTTCTATATTTCATGTTTTGTAAACTGTTTTGACTTGTAGAAATTGTATTTTGTATGTGTTTATATCCGCCACCGCATTGCTCACCCCCAGATAGTGTTAATAAAGGTGTAAGTAAACTAGAGCTGGGCGATAGAACGATAACGATATGTATCGCGATATAACTTTTACTCGATAGAGAAATTAAGCTATCGCGATAGACCTCGCCGCTCTTGTCCTCTTTAAAAAAAAAAAAAAAAAGGTCAGCCAATCCAAATTAAGTAGCGCAGAGCCGAACCAATCACAGCCGCAGCGTCACATCGCGTGACTTGTTACATACAGCACAAGTGCCAAGCCGCACGTGTGTTTGTTTGGGAAGCAGCCAGCGGGTAATGGAGCCAGCGGGTAATGGAGGAAATGAGTGTGCCGACTAGAAAAATCAACCGAGCGTGACCGAAGAGAAAACAGATGATGGTTCCAATGCCGGAGAGATTGTCGAACGGAAGAGCCAAAGAAGTTCCGTAGTGTGAAGGTATTTCGGCTATTTCAAGTCTGACAAAAAACAGAGTAGCGTGCACTGTAAATTGTGCCGAAAGCAAGTCTGGAAATACAATAAACTGGAGCATGCGTCACACTGTGCGCCACTTATTGTTTCGGTGAAATGAATTTCTACAATACTGTTACTGTTAACTCTACTCTCTGCAGTGTTTAAATGCTTACATATACACACAGTTACTGTCCCTCCACACATACGACTCGGTTCTGCTTCTATGCCGCAGCTTTGTTTACTTTTTCCCACTGAGGCTTCTAGACTTCTGATTGGCCAACATTTCTGCACGGTTAGGAATCTAGCGCCACCTGCTGCTTTGGCATGTTCATAGCAGCGTTTTCCTTCATTTCTGCCTTTATGTGTGTACAAGATTATTTTTTAAAACGAAAACGGAAAATCTCCGTTTTCAAAAATACCCGTGTACGTGTGGACGTAGCCTCAGTCTCTGACTGGAAGCGCTAATTCGTCATTCGGCTTTTGTCAGACTAAAGTAACTGTTAAAACTGTTTGAAAAGCTAAGCTATACAACAAGGAGAGATTGAGAATTTCCTTTTAGTTCTCAGTTTATTTGATATTGACAAAAGTTAGTCAGTTTTGTCTGTTCTTCTGTAAAACAAACTAAGATTTATTTTTAGAATTAATATTTTGTTTCTAAGTGGAATTGACAATTTAGTCTGTTTCGTTTGTACTATTTTGAAACTTAAACGCTTTAGCGGCTGCCTTTTGTGTAGTTTGCAATATTTGCCTTTATTTATCTGAAAAAGTCTCATGTTCCTTAAGTACATCTACCCTGTTGAACTTATTATGGGAAATAAATATTTAAATAAAAACAAGCTGCTGATTATTTCACATTTTACTTGTGAGCAACGGCACATTTAAATCTTACAAATATAGTTATTTGGCTTATATCGTGATAGATATCGTTATCGCCTGAAATGAAAAAAACATATCGTGATATGAAAAAATCTCATATCGCCCAGCTCTAAAGTAAACCAAGAAATTATTTTGGCAAAGAGAGAAGTGTAACCATTCTGTCAGCGCAACAGAACAGTATGTGGGCTTTTTTTAAAATGTGAACTGCAGATTTTGCAAGTATGCCTCTTATGCCATTTGTCAGACTTGACCTTTTGAGTTGCACCTGCATTAAAACATCTGAATGTGTTACCACATGCTGTACTTTCAGTTTCCCATGGTGGATTCTGTGCTGTTGGTGATTGTGTGGTAGCAAATAGAAAGGACTGGACAAATTTACATGTCTAGGTTGATTATTGACCCACAGATTTGACTATGCAAATTACAGTTGTGGGTGAAGCTGTTTTTAGCTGGGTCAACCGTGCAATGTTTCTTTGGAATCTTGGTAATAATAACCTATTCAAGACTAGCTGTTGTTCCCAGGATCAAGTTTCCGGCATTCCTGTATGGGTGGATGACGGTAAACAAAGTGAATTGTGGCTGACAGTAGTGCTTTCTGCCTGAACCTATAAAAATACTGTTGGCAGCATTTTGAGAATTTCTTGTTGGTTATTATTGCAACAGCCTTCTTAAAATCATGTCAAAATTATCTGGTAGCTTCATCATTATTAGGATTTTTATGCGTGATATCTGTTTGTAGACTTATAATTGTATGTAATTATACCTGTATATTGTATATTGAGGTAGGATCAAATGAGTTTACCTTTAAGTCTGTTTGTACCAACCCTTTCTTTGTCTCATTATTGTTTAAAGTGTATTTTGTTGTTATTTTAGTCATGTTCAAAATAAATCAATCATTCAGTGACAAAAAAAAAAAGAGTTCTTATGTACACAGCATCACTCGATTGGCTTTAGTTAAGATGGTAAGAAAATGGTCAATGTTTCCCAGCTGTATGGCACTTAATGTTAGTACTGTGCTTGAATAAATAAGTACATATTTAGGCATGGGCAAAAGAAGTAGTGGGTTAAACTAATCTGCAATTTATTGATATAAATCAACAGTTAACTGTTGTTCCTGAGCTGTTATGACACCACAACCACTAACCGAAAGATGTGGCATATGGCAGCAACCATCTTGATCTCTGTGACAGGAAGTTGTAAACAAGCAAGGTAAAAAGTAAGACATGACACTAACCAGTGTGGTTCTGCAGTACTTTGATTTAGAAAATGAGGGGCTATATGTAGGTTTCAGGGTAAAGTGATAACTACTGGAAGTAGTGGGTAACCCTTTTTGGCATAGGTTTGTGTGTTGTGGATGGTGCCAATTCTTATATTCTGTTCTGACTAGTGAATTAGTTACCTTAGTTATTCTGTTATGCTGTTGTGGCAAAGGGGTTTCCTTCATTTAGAAAAAAATAAAATATGTCCACCAAAGATGTTTTGGGATTCTACCAAAGCAAAATACCAAGATAGCAAAATGGACTTTCTAGTTTCTGTTGTATTTGTTTATAAAGTAGCAAAAAACTTCCTTTAAGTAGTTCTTTGTCTCTGGACCCATTGTACTTCAGTCAATAGTCTCATTGAAAGTCCTGTTTGCATCAGGAAAAAAACAAAACACTGTCAGTATGCTAGCCTTTAGAGACTTTAAAATGATTTACGGTCATGTTACTAACTTATTATAAAAATTTGTGGTAATAATGTAACAATTGTTGAGTTTTACCTTTACGTTTAGACCACAAATGAATGAGACAGTTTTGTGATTGACCTCTTAAGTCTTTCGTCTTTTCTTCTGTCTTTTCTTCCTCTGTAGCTCACAGCTTTTCCTTTGACCTTTATAATAACTGAATTTATATTTTGTTGCCTTTGTTTTGGCTTTCATCTCTCTTTCTGTTTTCCTACTCTCACCTCCTATAACTGCTTCATATTAAGACTCCATCTTCCTTTTTTTATTTGCATTTTCTCTCTTTTGCTACAGACCACCCACTATTAACATCACGTCTTAGTGGTCAGTTCTGCCTTCGGATCAGAGCTTAAACTGAAACCATGGCAGTGAAGGACCGCGTAGAGGCTGTGCTCAATGTGGGTCTGCGTGTTCCCAGCATCATGCTGTTGGATGTCCTCTACCGCTGGGATGTCAGCTCCTTCTTCCAGAAGATCCAGCGCTCCAGCCTTTCCAATAACCCCCTTTTTCAGTACAAGTATCTGGCCCTCTACCTGCACTACGTAGGTCAGTGCCACCTTTCCTGTATTAAAACTTAAGAAAATGTTTGGTGTAACTGAGACACTTTGTTTAAATGCTTTGCAATGTCTGTACCACATTAAAGAGTTCCTCATTTGAAAACATCATGTGTACTTCCCTGTAGTCAGGTTACCATGACCTGCACTGAAACAGTATTATATGCCATGCATTACTGTTTTACCTCTGTTGGTTGAAAGTGCGTGATTTCTTTTTCCATTCAGAAGTGTCGACTCACGTTTGGTATTAGTCAGTAAGTCACGAGGCTCAGCTCTGTAGTGATTGAGAGGGATTATTTGACAGTGTGGCGATCGTGGCTCAAGAGTTGGGAGTTTGCCTTGTAATCGGAAGGTTGCCAGTTTGAGCCCCGGCTCGGACAGTCTCGGTCGTTGTGTCCTTGGGCAAGACACTTCACCCGTTGCCTGCTGGTGGTGGTCAGAGGGCCCGGTGGCGCCAGTGTCCGGCAGCCTCGCCTCTGTCAGTGCGCCTCAGGGTGGCTGTGGCTACAATGTAGCTTGCCATCACCAGTGTGTGAATGAGTGGATGACTGGATGTGTAAAGCGCTTTGGGGTCCTTAGGGACTAGTAAAGCGCTATACAAATACAGGCCATTTACCATATCTGCTTTTAAGACACACTAGAAACTCAGAAAACCAGTACTCAAACACAAAGTTCTGAATTCAGTTTTGAAGGCATTACAAAATGTCTTTGCAGCACAAGTGGTTAGCCAGATACATTTACAGTGACACAGAAACACTGAAAGTAACATAAATGAAATAGCTAGGCCTCGTTCTATTTTTGTAATTTAACCTAGCTGAAATAAAGCTATTGTTGAGTTTTCTTTGTGTTTTGGCTGTGTGAGCTCTCAAACTTGGCTGCAGTTGGTTAATGAGCCAATAGGCTTGGCATGTGCTGATGAGCACTGTGGGTGGAAAGAAAGAAGGGAGAACAGGGCAGTAAAAATAAATGTCTTTGCACTGAAGTGCTTTTAGACACAGTTTTAGGTAGTAGGCTATTGTATGGTAAGGCTTTCTGCAGTTTGTCAAAAATACCCCCCCCCCCCTCCCCCCCCCAAACTATGTCATAAACATCTGTCATACGCTTTATTTATGTGTTTTAAAACGCACTCTGGTCTGCAAACAGGAAGACGGATGCCTTTCAGAATGCATGACTTTCTTGTATTTCTTTTATATTTATGGCTACTTCACAGGTTACATCTTGAGCTTGGTGCTTCTGACTCTGCCTCGTCAGCACCTGGTTAAACTTTACCTGTATGTTCTTACGGCCCTGCTGCTGTTTGCTGGTCACCAAGTGTCAAGGTAAACATTCACAGAAACTTAAATCTACCAGAATAGCTAACAAGATGCCACTACTCCTCTTTTAAATATTGATGTGTGTATGTATGACAGTTTTCCTCTTGTTAATTCATGTGAAGGACTGGACATTGTGAGAATTTCCTCTGTATTGATTGTTTTCGTTTTTCTCTGTCAGGGATTATGTTCGCAGTGAACTGGATTCGGGTTATGAAGGCCCTGTCTACCTGGAACCTCTCTCCATGAACAGATTCACCACTGCACTCATAGGTATAATACTCATAGGTATAATTGTTCAACATTCATATTATTGAAGAATGTGAATGATGAGGTACCAATGTATTGCACATAGATACTAGTGGTGCAACGGATCAAAAATCTCGCGGTTTTAAGTCATGGATCAGAGCAATTTTCAGATCAGCAAAAAAGACAAAAATGTAACATTTACTTATTGAAGTATTTTTTTGCCTGTTGAAAATATTCAACTCAAGACTCATTCCAGGGCAGTACAGTCTTTGTATCTACCACTCAATTCAATTCAATTTTATTTATAAAGAGCCAAATCACAACAACAGTCGTCTCAAGGCGCGTTATATTGTAAGGTAGACCCTACAATAATACATATCGCTCATTATATCGCACTCTGCTGTGATATAATGAGCTGTTATGGTCACGTAGCTTTCCGTTGCCCTGGAGGTCCACCCATTTGTAGTAGTTAGGGCAACAGAAGATGCCTGGGACAGTTCAGCCATAACTTAAATCTTTTCCTGCTCATACATGCTTGGAATGATCTTGCCACTTAAGTGGACACGAACAGGATATCATAGCGTGGCTCAAGCACGTTCATCATAGTTTAAACCCCTTGTTTTGCACAACGGAATACGGCCTCCCGTCTGCAGCTAAACACCCCACTAGCTTTTGTAATAGTTTTAGCCCGGTCGGACTGGGCAGCAAACTCCTCTGCTCCTCCACTTGGACCGCTAGCGCTGGCCATAACTATCGCTTGACAGACCCACCACGCGCACCATACACATACTTTTTCTTTCTTCTTTTTCGAATCTTCGGATCACGTACGTGCCAAACCGTGGAGTGGGATCAGTTCGGATTACGGATCAACCGCGATCCGTTGCACCACTAGTAGATACAGACCCGTAGACCCACTTGGGCAGCAGAAAGATATTTATTTATTTATTTAAATTTGAACTGTTTCCTTCTTTTTAATGGCTGCACATACTGCTGTACAAAGTATAGGAACATTAATTTTATAAATTGGCACCTCGTAGCACTGCAGTACAACCAGTAGGACTAAAGCTCAGAATTCATATGCTCTAACCAAATGGCTAAACTGAATGGGCATAGTATTCAGAGCATATGATGAGTAGGATGCATCTTTTGCCATGGGTCTGTGTGAATTTCATCCAAAAGAAAACAGTCTTCATTTTGGGATTGTGTTTTTGGACCCTGCATGGGGCAGTAAATTGAGATTATTCATTGAATTTGTGTAACCTGGGTCAGTAAACATTCATGGACTATAGTAGACTGTGCAAAGTTGCTAAGAAGATGCATACAGGTACTGGCAAAAGAAAAGCAGACACTTGAGTCTTTTCCTTAAGAAATGTTTGTGTAACAGGAATAAGCACACCTTGTTTTTGTCTTTTTAACAAAAAAAGTGGAAATAGAATACTTGGCTGCACATATGTACATATTTAGCATTGCTCTCATGTCCATGTGAGCACTTTCATTAATTATATAAATACCCAATGCTACAGCATCCACATTAATGGGATTATGAAGGAACCTAATTTGTACCAATTCCAGAATTAAGAAGTGCTCACATACGTATGTGCTTCAGTCTTCCTCTGGGTGGGAAAGCAAAAAGAACAACCTCCTGTAATTTTTCATTATGTCTGTTGCTGCTATGCTTAATTATGTAAAAATGTATCATTTTCTAAATAGAAAATGCTGTAGAGTCTGTGTTTTTAGGACCTAGTTTAAACTTACTAGAGAGTATAGATGGAGTCTCCTGTGCTATAAATAGACCGCAGAGTGCTGCTTTTACTGCGTAGTGAAAGCCTGAGAAAGCGAAAATAAGATGAGTACAGTGACAAAAATATGCTACTGTAAGGAGCAATGTGAGATTAAAGCTGCTTCTCTTCTCTTTTAAATGTTTGTTCCTTTTTGGTGTTTGACACATTTTCACCACTCTAGGAGAGCTATAAATATTCTGATAAATTTTCTTTTAATTGTCAGTTACACGAAAATGATAAATACCACATCACAAAAAACATTTTAAAATCAGAGTGATAATAGTGTCTTTAGTCATTTATTCAACTCTTTGTTTTATATATGTGTGTATGTGTGTCTTCTTTCAGGTCAGCTGGTGGTTTGTACACTTTGTTCCTGTGTGATGCAAACCAAGAGGATTTGGCTGTTCTCTGCTCACCTCCTCCCTCTAGTGGCTAGACTGTGTCTGGTCCCACTCGAGACCATCGTCTTCATCAATAAGTTCTCAATGATCTTCACGGGCCTGGAGGTCATTTACTTCCTGGCGTCTAACTTGCTGGTACCATATAACCTGGCCAAGACTGCCTACAGAGAGCTGGCTCAGGTATTTATTGTGGGCTGATGTTGCAAGCTTTTCAGTTTCTGTGACAGGATTTCAGTTCTGAGATATTTTTCTGTAGATGGTATCAAAGGTATTCTTTATTTCGGTCTTTTTCTGTCCTGCAGGTGGTAGAAGTGTACGGGCTTCTTGCTTTGGGAATGTCACTGTGGAACCAGCTGGTCCTTCCAGTTCTCTTCATGTGTTTTTGGCTCGTGCTGTTTGCTCTGCAGATATACTCCTACTTCAGCACAAGAGACCAGCCTACTTCCAGAGAGAGGCTGCTTTTCCTTTTTCTTACAAGGTAAGACTATAAATCAGGCTGCAAGACACTTTACATTTTACGTCACTGACCCTTTAGAAGGTGTGTTTATCTATTTATTGCCTTGTATCGTTGAAGGGGCAGGTAGTGTGTACAAAACATAAATCTAGTTTTGATGTACTGGAATTTATTTAGAAAATCTAATTATATAAAAGTATATAAATTATATAGCATCATATAAATTACAGAGACATTAGATTGCAAAGCAAGTCAGTCTGCAGAGTTTGAGTAAAGCAAGTTTTTAGATTTTGAGATAATTTTGCAGAAATGTGTCAAGAGGAAATTCTAAAAGATGTGTTGGATCCATTTGTCACAGTGCTAAATAACCCATGTTTTGCACTGGTGGACAGAATTAAGTTAAAGCAGACGACTGAGATACTCATCAGAACTTTAAGGACGCGATCTAAATATTTAAAATTGTTTAGAAAGTTGTTGTTTTTTTTTCATGTTCTCTAAGTAATTTGCTCCTCCTTTCTCCAGTATCGCAGAATGCTGTAGTACACCGTACTCTCTGCTGGGTCTGGTTTTCACAGTTTCTTTCATTGCGCTGGGCGTTCTCACACTGTGCAAGTTCTACCTGCAGGGCTACAGAGCCTTTATGAATGACAACACCATGCACAGGTCAGCAAGGTTTTTATTTTCTTGATGTCTTCTGGTATGTTTCTTTTAATTAGTTTAGTCTGTTTTAGCCTCTCTGTCCCAGTAACCATCATGACTGAAGGCAATATGTTTTCTGACTGTTTATCCCATTCGTGTGGAAACACATATATCTGGAACTATTCTTTAAGGATGTCTGCATTTCACACAACTGTCTAATAGGATAAAATAATTGACATTGTATACCCAAAAGTCAAGTCTGGATAAACGTGTATATGATCTCCAACTTGAGTGCAAAGCCAAGGCATATAATTGTGTGGTGTGTTAACTCTAATTTGTTTCCTCTCTGTGCAGGGGGATGACTGAAGGTATCACCTTGCTAATCCTTGCGGTCCAAACTGGCCTCATTGAGCTGCAGGTCATCCACAGAGCCTTCCTCCTCTCTATCATCCTCTTTATTGTTGTTGCTTCCATCCTGCAGTCCATGCTGGAGATAGCAGATCCTATAGTCCTAGCCCTGGGAGCATCTAGAGACAAGTAAGAGAATATACCAAAGACTTTTTTTATGTGTTTATTTTTAAGAAAACTCTGTGTCCCACTGTTTGTTTTATTTTGTACTGATCATAAACAACTATTAATAACTATGGGCAGTTAGTTAATTATCACAGTATTCATTATCTATGGTCATCAGTACAACTCATGCTAACATCATAAATTAAGTAACACTACAGTGTACAGTCCTTCTTTCTTCATTCCTACCTAAACAGGCAGTTAGTCTTTTTGACATCAATAAATGTAATCTGACTCAATGTGTGTATACAAAGCCTGCTATCAACCTGGCTGCTTTCTCATATGCTTGTTTTGCTGCCTGTCCCGTAGGAGTTTGTGGAAGCACTTCCGTGCAGTTTCTCTCTGTCTCTTCCTGCTGATCTTTCCAGCGTACATGGCTTATATGATCTGCCAGTTCTTCCACATGGACTTCTGGCTTCTCATCATCATCTCCTCCTCAATCCTCACCTCTCTCCAGGTAACACACAACCGCATCGCAGTGTGCAAAAACATTAAATCAAATAGTTTAAACTTGCTCTACCCAAACAGTTGAGCCTAATACTAATTAAACATTTATATTTGCTTGTTTGTTTAATTCCATAATAACTCTGAAACACTGTACCACCAGGTCCTTGGCACTCTTTTGATCTATGTTCTCTTCATGGTGGAGGAGTTTCGTAAAGCTCCAGTGGAGAACATGGATGAAGTCATATATTGTGTAAATGGGACCTACAGATTGCTGGAGTTTCTGGTATGTCACACACACATACACCAACTCTTTGCTAAGTTCTGCCTTCTGACTGTAAACAGACACTGTCATCTAATGCATCAGCACGGTCTCTGCCTCACTGTCAGTGATTTGTTCCCTCGCCAGGTTGCGGTGTGCGTGGTGTGCTATGGTGTATCAGAGACTGTATTTGGCGAGTGGAGTGTGATGGGAAGCACCATCATCTTGGTCCACTCGTACTATAACGTCTGGCTCAGAGCCCAGCTGGGCTGGCAGAGCTTCCTGCTCAGGAGAGATGCTGTAAACAAGATAAAAAGCCTCCCCACAGCTAGCAATACACAGCTGCAGCAGTATAACGACATCTGTGCTATCTGCTTCCAGGTATGAACTGTTTTTATGTTTATCTAAAGAGGATGCATGAGAGAGTTAATCTGGGGCTTTAAAAGGTAGGCTAATGTGAAATTTGATTTGTTCCAGGACATGACCAGTGCTGTGATCACTCCGTGCAGTCATTTCTTCCACGCTGGCTGTCTGAAGAAATGGCTGTATGTCCAGGAAACGTGCCCTCTCTGTCATTCACAACTCAAGAGCCAATCACCAACTAATGGCGGAGCTACCCAAGAGACACCTGCAGCCAATCAGAACCCTGCAGGACAGGAAGAAGCCCCAGGCAACAAGCAGGAGGAGGACCACAGCACTCTACCGGAGGATAGGAAAGAGGAAGCGTCAGTAGAGCAGGAGGGAGATAATGAAACTACCACATCAGCTGAGGAAGCCTCCTCTTCCACCTCCCCCACTGGCATGCAGTCTGCTCCCCTGCACATCGTCAACCCTCCATTATCATCTTCCTCTTGTTCTTCTTCTCCTCTTGCAACTGATTCTGTGCCGCACCAGTCCCCTGCAGATCACCCTTCTGCATCTTCTTTCTCTACCTCTTGCACATCAGACACACCTGACGCTCCTGCATCTCACTGCCATTCTGTCTCCACCTTTCACCAACCAACGTCACAGGTACTGACCCAAGCAGAGGCGAACCCTGCTGAACCCGAATCCCTCCCTCAGCTAAAATCGGTCTCCCTTGTGGACAGCAAGGAAAACTCTACTGGTCCATCATCACAATCTAACCCACCAACTCCCCATTCAGTGGAACCTCCTCCTCGTCCTCCACCCCCTCCTCCATTCAACCCCTGAGCTCCATTGTAACACACACACAACATACATGCATGCATGCATATATAATCACACAATCTAAATAATCCCCTATTGTACTTGTCCAACTGTTTGCTGTTGGCTCTCCCATCATGTCCAACTCCTTCATATCCATATTATGTTTCAAAAGATCTTAAACAATCTCTAAACAGAAATTCATCACTCGGTATTTAAAAAAAAAAAAAGAGAAGACAATGATTGCAGCTTTATAAAATGTTAGTACTTGGAGCAATGAAAGGTTTCCCATGATAGGTGTAACCCATGCCAACAGTGATTTCATCACAGGTGCAGTTGTTTTCCACATGTTCTTTCACAGGGATTCAAATTTAATACAAAAAACAGGATGCAGTAATCTCATCTCAAAATGAATTGGGAGTTTTACACCATGTCCAGAAAATGTGAAAATCAGATTTCCATCCCGGCCTTTTTCTTCCCCCCCCTCCCTACAATCATGCTTTTACCCCTTACCTTTTGATGCCCGACATTTAGGGCAATGGTTGCTCCTGCCTTTGTTTGTACAGCTTGAACTTTCACTGCTGTACATTTCATAGTGTTTGGGTGCCACGATTTATCGAACAATTGATCAGACTATCGATTACTGATGGTTGCATTTTATACCGTGACAAAGTCTTAACATTTCATAACGTCTAGAAATTCTCCACATTTTTTGTTTTTCACTGCTGGGTGTCAGTAGTGTTGTGATTTAGTGAATACTGAGCGTTAGCAGACTGAATGTTGTTTATTGAGGTCGCCGCATGACCTAAAGCCTGGTGCTAAGCAGAGGACACATGGTATGGTCTAGCTGAGGGGTGCAGTGTGAACTTTTGGTTCACATTGAATAACTTACATGTGTCAAGCTTTTGCTTTTATACTACTTCAATATCTGATTCAGACTTGTTTGGCTGGTCCCAGCAAAAAAACAGTTCTATTCCTCATCGCCAAACTTTTGTATTACTGTTAAAGCAACTTTATTTTTAAGGTCATTTTTACATTACTGCTTTATTGGATACCACACGCTGCAAATGGACTAAGGGGAAGATGGAGAGACGAGGTATAAATTAGTCCACAGAGTTGATAAGGAGCTCGGATTTTGCCCTCATTAGCTCTATTTTATGGTTCTCACTCGCGCTTACCGTTGCAAGCTTAGCTCACTAACAGATCAACCAAGCATTCACATTGTTGATCGCTGATGGCAGGAGCCAATCAGCTCCTTTCATCCAGTTACATTAGAGACCCTGTATTTTCCAAGACATTAGGGTTTTCCTGCTCGTCAGTCAGTTTACTCCATAAATTGTTGATACCAGCAAATTGAGCCATAGCTTCTTCTTTTTTTTTTTTTTTTTTTTTTTCACAAAAACACACTTTCTTTTGGCTACTGCATTTAGCAGATGAAGCATGGCGAGGAAGAAATATGCTTTGAAATGAGTGTGAAAGACTGAAAACTTGAGGATGGCAAGTCCTGATGCACGCTTATATGTAGACCTTGCTGCCGCTCTGACCACAGAATTTGTTCGTCCCCAATGTGCTATAACCTTGCTACCAATGTTTTTTGTTTTTTTTCTACCTTTTTTTTTCTTTTGGGGTTATATTTGCACTAATGTCATTTTTTACTAGCAATGCTCCAAAGCTGTTCTGTGGATGTCGGCAACCAAATACCCTCTGATGTCTGTGTATGAGGAAACGGCCCAATCTGTTTGTGTGTAATGTACATAAATGTTGCTCTGTACGGAATCTATATTAAACCAGAGGAGTGTTGATAGATAAATATATATATATATACGTATATATATATATATATATATATGTAAGACGAGGGCTTGGTTTCTCCAAAGTTTCCTTTCTTTGTTTCTTCACGTGCCTGAGAGCAAAGAGAATTTTTTGGATAAGAAGCTGCTGGGAAATCAAGCCCTCTGATCTTTGAGACCAGCCAGTGTTGCTGCTTCTCCAGTCTATATGATGCATCTTTTAAGCTGGTGTGATCACTCTGGTGCCCTCTACTGTTAGGAGTGGGATCAGCATGGTGCAGACGGACAGGAGACGCATTAATTAGCGCTCAGCAGTATTACTTACTAGCACTATTATTAAAGGTCTTATTAGTATGAATGACCATATTCTTGACATTAGGAAGCGTGGGCTGCAGGGTTGAGAATGAATACACGATCAGTGTAGGATCAAACCTGACCAACGCTGTTTTGACTTTTTGTGTTTATTTTTTTTAAAGAGATGAAATGTAGAGTTTGATGTATTTTGCACATGTTCTTCTGAAAGGTGAACCTAAGGACTTTTCTGTACACAACTTATTTTATTACCAACACCATTCCTTCAACGTTGATTTTTTTTTTTTAACTTAAATACAGCACTTGAAACGGTTATAATGAATTGAGCTGTTTAAAACACACTTGGTTTTCGCCATGACGCATTTCCACTGCGTCCTGCATTGAGATCACCTGTAAGATGAAATGTGACGTGACGCCCCACGAGGGCGATAACAGTCAGTGGCAGCTGTATGTGAATTTTGCATTTCAGTATTAAATAATGAATACGAGATGCTTGTCAGCTGTTGATTCCTCAAGTATTTGCTCGGTTATTACACCACGTTGGAGAAGTTGCAGTTTCTCTCTTCAGGCTACGAACTGTGGCTTCATTTTTTCATACTGTCTGGGACAGTTTGACATCAAATTATTAGCACATAATAAGCTAATAATTGTGCTCAATATTCATCTGATTAATATAAAGTACATGCAGACAGTGAAGCTTTAAAAAAAAAAAATGCAATCTTTAATGCATTATTTGCATCCTGTGATTTGTGTTTTTCTTTCTACATTTTTTTCTGAATTGACTTAAAATACGCATCAGTGACTGTGGTAATGTGCCAACAAATGTCTTAGCCATCACTGGTGCTCCTTACACTGAGCAGGATTCATTTTACAGTTAAGCTCCTCTAAGGGGCCATAATGCCTTTTCAGATTGTAAAGTCACACATACATACAAGTACAATAAGTTAACCTGAATATCTTTTTTTTTTTTTTTTTTTTTTTTTTTTTTTTTAAATCTTTTTTTTTTTTAGTTGCTCCTAATTGGCTTGCTCTGCAATCATAATTTCAGGATGTATTTTGTCTACTTAACTAGTACTGCTGTTAGACTTTCATATTTGATGATCTTTACTGAATGTGACTAAAAACCCAGAGACAGAAAACCATTTTTGACCAGTGTGACAGCAAAGTTAGCCTTGCATCTGATATCCAGATGTTTCACTGTTTCCACTTTTCACGATTCTTTGTAAAAATCATAATTTTTTGAGTGTGAGCAAATACAGAAATGGAATCTATAGCTGCCACGGAGTGAGAGCTCTGTAAAGACGTTTTACTGTATTTTCCGAATGCGTTCTTAAATCTGCTCTTCGATACTGTTGCCTCTGACTGACAGATGCGTAGAGATGAATTGTACTTGTGGGGCTGCTCTCCCCGACACTCCCTGCAGATTCTTGTTTAAGATGAATTGTTTTTGTCCATTGAGTTTATCCAAAAACAGCTTTAGGACCTGCTCTGTTTAATGTGGCTCTCAGTGCCATTTCTTTTCTGTTAAAATGCTTCATGTTGGTTTTTGGACTTTATGCCTGGCATTGCCTTGTTTATTTTACAAAAACTGAATGTCAAATAAAATGAACCATCCACTCTGAATGCTGTGACTGTTCTTACTAATACTTTGATGAAGTGTAAGGAAAATAACAAAATAAAGATCATTGTTTTGGAAAAGGTAAGCGACTGAAAAGTGGGTGTGATACCACCTGCTGAAATTAAAATGAAATGCCACACAAATAATGTTAAGCAAATAATAATGGGTGTAGTACGTAAGGTCAAAAGCAGTCGAATGTATTACAAAAGCTGTAACAATCAGTTTCTTTGAAAAGTCTCATTTATATGTACATTTTGGAGACAATGCATCAGGTGACTGAGCCGTTGCGTCTGACTTTGAGGTACTGCAACAGCAGAGGGCAGCAATACTGTAGGAAACATGCTCCCCAAAAATGAAGCCAAAACGTCTCTATCACCGCCTAGTGTCTTGGCTGCAGTATAGGTCATAAAAAAACCCTCATCTATGTTAGCGGATGGGACTGGGGTCGGGCTAAAATTAGAAGAAAAAAAAAAATCAGATCTTTTTTTTTTCCAAAGATGCTTTCTATCATTATCAGTAGTTCTCATCAGGCTGATTTATGTTCATTGGGTCTCCTTTCTTATAAGTTTGATTCTAATTAGTAACACAAAGCTGTTAAATTGGGGTGAAACGTCATCACGACAGCTTTGACTGGCAGCTGCAGTCACGGAGAAACTTGCTTATCTCTGTTCGGGAAGGGCAGATGGAGCCTGACGCTGAGAGGAGGTCCAGCGTTTACGTTTCAAAATCACGGCTGCCCCTGGGTGGGTCTGGGATGGGCGTGAGGTTCTGGGGGCGCTCCGTCTCTGGGCTGGGGCCCGGGCCGGGCCTCGGGGGCTTGGGTCCTGGTTGGTGTGTTGCCGGGGTTGTGGGCGGGTGGGTGCATGGGGGCCCAGCCCTGGAGCAGGGTGCCGCCGGTGCATCGAGCCACCTGGGGGGCTCTTCAACTGGTGGGGGAGATTGTCACATCTTTCAGGAACTCTCTCTGCAGGAGGGGGAGATACAGGAGAGGTGGAGGAAGATCTCAGCCTGGGTGTTTATTGTCTTATGTAGTCTGGAAGATGAGTGGATGGTGGGGTGGGTGCAGTTTTCTCTGTGGTGGGGTTGAGTGGACTGTCCCGGGCTCTGTGGGGCCGGGAGGCGCTGCTGCACTGGGCCCCGGTCTGGATGGGCCTGGGCCCCCTTTCCCTGGCGGGTCGCGGAGTATGGGGGTGCCTACTGGGGTCAGCGGGGGAGCTGGCCACTTGCCCCTCCCTTCCTTCCCTCCCCATCTCCAGCTGCCTCCCCCTTCCTGCTCCACCACAACCACCCACACATGCAGGACCTTGGAGTAGGGGTATGTCACCAGGATGCAGAGGAGGCTACCCCCCCCCCCCCCCCCCCCCTCTCTGTCCCCTTCTGGCTGCCTCTGCCTCAATTTTATCCCACAACTTAGACATTCACATTATTCACACTCTCATTACACATACATATAGGATCTTGGGGGTGGGCACGATACACGGAGTCCAAAGTACCATCAGGGTGTACACCCCACCCCTGGCATCGTTGCCCACCTCTCAATTTTAAATACACTTAGACATTGAGGGCTAGCAGGAGGGACCATGCGCTTACCTGCTGCTCTCTGGCAGGTAGCTCCATGCCCTCCTGGGTTTTAATTGCACCTTAGAACACACATGCATCAACACTACAATGAGCGGGTGGAGGGAGGTTTGGAGTCTTCTCCCACCCCCATTCTCTGCGGCCTGCTGGAGCAGGGGGGCTAGGAGGAGGAGTTGGCCGTCCGACTGCGGTCTGGAGTGTGGGGCCTCCCTGCTGCTGCGGAGTCGGGTGGTCTGCCTCCCCCCACCGCAGGGAAAAAGGGTAACACCACCTGGGTCTGGGTGCAGTTCCCCCCTCCAGGGGCAAGGGTACCTAGACCCGGTTTGTAGAGTACGCTTGGGGAGTGTGATCGTGTGTACAGCGTCTCTTTATGTCTGTCTCCACATTGGTTGAGTGTGGAGTAAGTGCATATGAGAGCATGAGGGTGGGAATGGATGTTTGTATCTGTGTGTGCCTGTATGTCTGTGTCTATATGTCAGGTTGGGTGTCAGGCGCCACCTCTCTGGGGACATCTCAGGCCCTCCAAGGTTTGGAGGCCTATCTCCCCCCACCACCACTTCCCCTGCCAGTGGCGGACTCCCTCAGACATCGGTGCGTTGGTGGTTCTTTGTGTCCGGGGATGGGCATCCAGGTACACACCGGCTCACTCCTTGGCGGCCGCTTATCGGGGCCTGGAGCCTGGGGCTCGCTCGGGCCACTTCGGAGGTGGGGTGCCCCGGCCTCTCGGCCTGGGGCTCGGTCACTCAGGCACGGCTGGCTGCCGGCGGAGCTTACGGGCGCGTCACTGCAACTCCCCCTGGCTTCTGCTCCGCGGCTGCTGAGTGAACCCTCATCTGGGACTCTCCTCAGCTCTTTCCGGGACAGTGGCGCGGCTGCCCCTCTGTTGGTCTTCCATGGTCTCTTGTGTTCTGGGGGCCTCTGGATGTCTGGAGTTTTGATCTCCACCATACCTGCTTCATGCCCTGGAGGACGGGACTGTGGCCCCCCCACACCCTCTAGCAGATCATTACATGAAGGAACCTTTTAAAAAACAAAAAACAAGCGCGTCCATGCTCACAGGTGTACACACGGGTGATCACACCCACAAACTACACCCTTTTTGGCTCCTACCTCAAAGCACACTGTGTTCTGTTGATCTTATGTGCTGCACAATAATGTTTAACATTTAGTATTTACTGTCATATTCCCATATATCATTGTGATGTTGTTTATTCTATTACTCTTGTTCTCTTCTGCTTGCTTTCTTTTTTCTTTCTCAGCAGGTGATCCAGGTGATTGATATATGCATTTTTTTTCTGCTCATTCTGTTGGTTTTTGTCTTTTGCCCTTCTCCCCCGTCCCTCTTCTCAGCTGTTTCTCTTTCCCTCTTTCTTTCTCCCCTTCTTTCCCCCAGTCAAGTCTGTCCCGTATTCAGTAAGTGAAAATAAAATAAACAATAAAAGGTGAATCAAATGGACCATTACGGCAAGGCTGGGATGGTCAATTTGGTAAAGTAAATCCGTTGGGCATCTTTCTTTGCCTTTAGACAACAATTCTGAGGGCAAAAGAGCCAAACGGGACAGGCGCAAAAAAAAAAATAAAAATAAATAAATCACGACCAGCTGTTTCATAGTGACAGCCTGAGGTGTTGTTGAGTAAAGTGGACTACCCCACAGACAGACCGGTGTTGTGCCAAAAAGTGATTTCCAATGTTTCTGTGTATTTTTTATGTGTAATATCTTTACGTATGTTCGTAAATAGACTTCGGTGAACAGGGTTTACAAAGGGGTTATATAGAGAATTAAAAAATTATCCGTTTTTCAAGTATCTTTATAACTCTGTGTTATTGTACTTGCATTATAACCAATCCAGTCCTTTATCCCCACTTAAAATATTTTTATAGAACTATTGTAATATTTGCTGCCATTTCTGCTGTGCTCTTGGCCAACTTACTCTTACAAAAGACATTTTAATGTTAATGAGTTTCTTTTAAACTGCATAAATAACGGTTATATAAAAGTCACTGCCAAAAACTGATTGCGGCTTCTACCTTTTTACACGAATGTTGTTTGTGGCTCAAGATGACTTTATGTCATCCATAAGGGATGCATTTGACATATGTTTCACATAGTATAGCCCAACAAGTTACTTATAGCAGTTTAAATACAAGCAATCAGTTTTTGGCAAATACCGGAAATCAGTTTTTGGCAGACAATCACTTTTTGGCACAACACCGGAAGCCCCGTGGCTTTTTTTCGGTAAGTTAAATGTGTTTGTGTGGGTAAGTACCGTCCTTAGCTAGGTCCTGAAATGTAGGCAGCTAAGCTGAGAAGCGGGCTCTTCGGGGAAATTTGTTTTGTAAAGTTGGTTTAGCTAATGCGTCCAGGCGAATGAATTGACCGTGACAAAAGAAATGATGAGAAAAGCAGTGGGTAGGTGTTTTGTCCAGTCACTGGTGCTAGCTAAGAGGATGTAATAAAGGCAAGGTAGCAGAGGTGAAAAAGGAGTGGTTGTTGATAAATAATTAGAGAAAGAGGTGTGCAGGGCAAAAAGCAGGTGTGAATGTGTGAAATGTGTTGAGTATTTGAGTGAAAAAATGCGTGGTCTCCAGCTAATTTGGAAAGGCTGCTTGCACGATGTACAGCATGTGCACTTGAAATAGAAGAATTTTCCCCATTCTCTTCGCCCGTCATGTGGCGACACAAACAGCCCAGCCCCATTTATGGGACCTCTTTGTTGTCATGGTGTCACAACGACCACTTGTCTTGTGCCAACAACTCATTGCCTCACAAAAACTCACTTCCTATCTTTCCCTCTGTTTTTTTATGGCCAATATCTTTACATATCTTGCTAGATAGACTTCCCACAACAGGGTTTACAAACGCCTTATCCTCTTGGTCCACTTAAAATATCTTTACACAACTATTCTTACATTTCTTGAAACATCTGCTGTCCTCTTGGCCACACTACTCTTAAAAAACACATTTTTAATAGCAACCACATTTTTTCAACTGCATAAATAAAGCATATATAAACATCACTAACAAAAACTGATTGCCGCTTCTACCTTGTTATAGCAATTTTGTTTCTGGCTCAAGATGACTTCATTTCATTCATGAAGGTTACATTTGATAGATCTTTTCACATATTGTAGACCAACAAGTTGTTATGGCAGTTTAAATACGACCGATCCATTTTTGGCAGACCATCATTTTGTAACACAACACCGCTAAGCACAGACTCAGCCATCCTTTCTCCTCTTCTTCTTTTCATGCCGCTGCCATGGGAAGCGCCCACAAATGTGTCATTTCACACTGGCAGCAGGCTGGCGGAGCTAGCCGTGGTGCTTGATTTCTCTGACTTTGCTCTTTCACTGTGTTTAGATAATGTGCCATCCCCAAACAGTTGCGCTCGTTTTCGTGCTTTAGCTTTGTACTCAAGCACACAC